GCGGGATTGAAGAGGAGCGATTGGTGGAATGATGATGTAAAGAGAGTAGTAAGGGAGAAAAAGTTAGCATATGAGAAGTTTTTACAAAGTAGAAGTGATGCAAGGAGGGAAGAATATATGGAGAAAAAGAGAGAGGTTAAGAGAGTGGTGAAGCAATGTAAAAAGAGAGCAAATGAGAGAGTGGGTGAGATGTTATCAACAAATTTTGTTGAAAATAAGAAAAAGTTTTGGAGTGAGATTAACAAGTTAAGGAAGCCTAGAGAACAAATGGATTTGTCAGTTAAAAATAGGAGAGGAGAGTTATTAAATGGAGAGTTAGAGGTATTGGGAAGATGGAGGGAATATTTTGAGGAATTGTTAAATGTTGATGAAGATAGGGAAGCTGTGATTTCGTGTATAGGGCAAGGAGGAATAACATCTTGTAGGAGTGAGGAAGAGCCAGTTGTGAGTGTGGGGGAAGTTCGTGAGGCAGTAGGTAAAATGAAAGGGGGTAAGGCAGCCGGGATTGATGGGATAAAGATAGAAATGTTAAAAGCAGGTGGGGATATAGTTTGGTGTGGTTGGTGCAATTATTTAATAAATGTATGGAAGAGGGTAAGGTACCTAGGGATTGGCAGAGAGCATGCATAGTTCCTTTGTATAAAGGCAAAGGGGACAAAAGAGAGTGCAAAAATTATAGGGGATAAGTCTGTTGAGTATACCTGGTAAAGTGTATGGTAGAGTTATTATTGAAAGAATTAAGAGTAAGACGGAGAATAGGATAGCAGATGAACAAGGAGGCTTTAGGAAAGGTAGGGGGTGTGTGGACCAGGTGTTTACAGTGAAACATATAAGTGAACAGTATTTAGATAAGGCTAAAGAGGTCTTTGTGGCATTTATGGATTTGGAAAAGGCGTATGACAGGGTGGATAGGGGGGCAATGTGGCAGATGTTGCAGGTGTATGGTGTAGGAGGTAGGTTACTGAAAGCAGTGAAGAGTTTTTACGAGGATAGTGAGGCTCAAGTTAGAGTATGTAGGAAAGAGGGAAATTATTTCCCAGTAAAAGTAGGCCTTAGACAAGGATGTGTGATGTCACGTGGTTGTTTAATATATTTATAGATGGGGTTGTAAGAGAAGTAAATGCGAGGGTCTTGGCAAGAGGCGTGGAGTTAAAAGATAATCACACAAAGTGGAAGTTGTCACAGTTGCTCTTTGCTGATGACACTGTGCTCTTGGGAGATTCTGAAGAGAAGTTGCAGAGATTGGTGGATGAATTTGGTAGGGTGTGCAAAAGAAGAAAATTAAAAGTGAATACAGGAAAGAGTTAGGTTATGAGGATAACAAAAAGATTAGGTGATGAAAGATTGGATATCAGATTGGAGGGAGAGAGTATGGAGGAGGTGAATGTATTCAGATATTTGGGAGTGGACGTGTCAGCGGATGGGTCTATGAAAGATGAGGTGAATCATAGAATTGATGAGGGGAAAAGGGTGAGTGGTGCACTTAGGAGTCTGTGGAGACAAAGAACTTTGTCCTTGGAGGCAAAGAGGGGAATGTACGAGAGTATAGTTTTACCAACGCTCTTATATGGGTGTGAAGCATGGGTGATGAATGTTGCAGCGAGGAGAAGGCTGGAGGCAGTGGAGATGTGTGGTGTGAATATAATGCAGAGAATTCGTAGTTTGGAAGTTAGGAGGAGGTGCGGGATTACCAAAACTGTTGTCCAGAGGGCTGAGGAAGGGTTGTTGAGGTGGTTCGGACATGTAGAGAGAATGGAGTGAAACAGAGTGACTTCAAGAGTGTATCAGTCTGTAGTGGAAGGAAGGCGGGGTAGGGGTCGGCCTAGGAAAGGTTGGAGGGAGGGGGTAAAGGAGGTTTTGTGTGTGAGGGGCTTGGACTTCCAGCAGGCATGCGTGAGCGAGTTTGATAGGAGTGAATGGAGACAAATGGTTTTTAATACTTGACGTGCTGTTGGAGTGTGAGCAAAGTAACATTTATGAAGGGATTCAGGGAAACCAGCAGGCTGGACTTGAGTCCTGGAGATGGAAAGTACAGTGCCTGCACTCTGAAGGAGGGGTCTTAATGTTGCAGTTTAAAAACTGTAGTGTAAAGCACCCTTCTGGCAAGACAGCGATGGAGTAAATGATGGTGAAAGTTTTTCTTTTTCGGGCCACCCTGCCTTGGTGGGAATGAGCCAGTGTGATAATAAAAAAAAAATTTAAAATGAAAAGAAGTTTTAATTCTATTATATTAAAATTTCTTTTTTAACACATCAGCCATCTCCCACCAAAGTACGGTCACCCAAAAATAAACACTTTCAACATCACTGTCTTGCCAGAGGCATACCAATACTGGTTCAGATGTTCCTCCAAACTGCAAATATCCTATACGTCCTTCAGAGAGCAGGTACCGTATTTTCTACCTTCAGGATTCAAATCTGGCTAACAGGCTTCCCTGAATCCCTTCAGAAACATTAACTTGTACACACTCCAACAGCATATCAAGTCATAAAAAGCACTTGCCTCCATTCACTTGTATTTAACACGCTCACACACGCCTGCTGGATGTACAAGCCCCTCACATATAAAACCTCCTTTACCCCCTCTTGCCAACCTTTCCTGGAGTGATCCCTATCTCACTTTCTCTCCACTACGTATTTTTTTTTTTAACACGTCAGCCATCTCATACCGAAGAGGGTGGCCCCCAAAAAAGAAACACTTTCCCCATTATTCATACATAATCAATCTTTGCAGAGGTGCCCAATTACGATAGCCAATATCCCAAACCCCTCCTTTAAAGTGCAGGCATTGTACTTCCCACCTCCAGGACAACTCAGGTTAACCGGTTTCCTTGAATCCCTTCACAAAATATTACCCTGCTCAAACTCCAACAGCTCGTCAGGTCCCAAAAACCATTCGTCTCCATTCACTCCTATCTAGCATGTTCACACATGCCTCCTGTATGTCCAAGCCCCTTGCACACAAAATCTCTTTTACCCCCTCCTGCCATCCTTTCCCAGGATGACCCCTACCCCTCCTCCCCTCCACTACAGATTTTTTTTTTTTTTTTTGGTCAACAAGTTAGCCATCTCCCAACAGAGGCAGGGTGACCCAAAAAGAAAGAAAATCCCCAAAAAGAAAATACTTTCATCATCATTCAACACTTTCACCTCACTTACCCATAATCACTGTTTTTGCAGAGGTGCCCAGAATACAACAGTTTAAAAGTATATACGTATAAAAATATACAATACGTATATCTCTCCAAACTGCCAATATCCCAAACCCCTCCTTTAGAGTGCAGGCATTGTACTTCCCATTTCCAGGACTCAAGTCCGGTTATATAAAATAACCGGTTTCCCTGAATCCTTTCACTAAATATTACAGATTTATACACCCTCCAAATCATCCTATTTTGCTCCATCTTTTCTAAATGACCAAACCACCTCAACAAACCCTCAGCCCTCTGGATAATACCAATTGTAACCCATATCTCCTAATCTCCAAACTATAAATTCTCTGCAAAATATTTACACCATACACTGCCCTCGGATACATCACAACCTCCTCGCTGCAACATTCACAACTCGTGCTTCACATAATACAACCTGCAAAAAAGTATTCTCAATCCCTGTCAATTTTCTGACCTGCAGAAACATTCTGATACTAGTGCAAACTGAACATTTATTTTTTACGTACATGGGAACTTGGCAAATAAATAGTGGTTACATAGCACCTGGAGAATATGAGGTAATCAGGCTTGATCCAAGGAACAAGAAGGGTATTTCCAATTTCTTGGACCAGGAGCTCTTCACTAGAATAAAGGTAACCCCCTCCCTCTCTCTCCCTTCAAGTGTGCAAGTTACAAAGATTATTATTGAAAGAAAATGTTAAATGTATATGTTGTTAATTAGTGTAGCTGCACACAGAGCAGCAGGATTTCCTACAAGCAGATGTCCATGCACAGGGCATGTGATCTATTCTCCAAATTTTACCAGAAACCTTGAAAGGAGTATCACTCAGCCTGTACCTTCACCTGAGCATTGTTTTGCGAGACAGTTTTCATGGAGAAAATGTAAACCTGATCTTGCAATATATGGAAGATTATACTTATGTCAACCAAGGTTACAAATGCCAAAGCAAATTTGTCATTATTTAATATGGCCTCAGCATTATTTTTCTGGAGTGTGAAGAGATTTATCTAAGATTTAGGATTGATGATGATGGTACCGTAGCAAGGACTGAAGGGAGGATTCTGGTCTACAGGAAGGAAGACAATAAGATTTCTGGATTTTTTATAAAATTAGCAAAAAACATTGTTTAATATATTTAAAACAAGAACAAATTATTACAAAAAGAGATAAACAGGAGCTTCATTTTTCCAAGTGGATGTAACATTCAAGGAACAGGTTAATTTATTTTAACACTGAGCACTTAGAATATTGCTACTGCATACCAGGAGAGGCTGGTACATAGTCAGAAGACTCTTTCAATCTTTCGATGCAAAGAATGGCTTCTTTCAGTAGCTTTTATACCAACTGAACAAGCCTTTTAAGCTAAATCTGACCCTAATGTTAGAGGCACTCAGAGCTGTTTTGATGTAACATTCAAAATTTTGCACAGGTAGTCATTATAAGCCTTTTGTCAGGTCCTGCATCAGAGACCTGTCTAACATGTAAAACCCTTTTGACAGTACTTTGCTGGTATAATGGTTATCTGATGTATAAGTAATACAAACCACTCCAGTACCTTCCACATGAATTTGGCCACTGTTTGTAAAGGTGAAGTAATTCGTTCAATACTGCTAATGAATAAAACAAAGAAAATTCACGTGTAAACAAGTTTGATTCCAAAATACTTAATTTCTAGACATTTTACATTTCTCGTTAGGTTAAAAAGTTTAAAGGTGAATTAACTAAAGCAGTCATTAAAACCCAAAGAAAATTAGTGCAGGAAATAATTCATGAAAGAGAGCCAGGTCTATGTATTTAAATAGCAGGTAGCAGATTCAGTGTATTTACCTTGTAGTTTATGTACAATATTTAAATGACAACAACTTTGTTAACCTCATCTTCTAATCTTTTTTAACTGCTTCATTCGCATCATCTTCCGCTTCTTCTCTTCCTCTTCCCGTTGTATGTCTTCAAGATCTTCTTTCAGCCCAATTTTAGCTGATATTCTTTCTTCTTTTTGCACCTGAGAGAAAGATGCTTCCATGTCATCACAGTCATCATCATCATCCCTGCAAAAGGTGAATGCACATGCTGTAATATAAATCAGCTAAAATGCTTGAAAAAATGAAAAATCTAACAAATCCTGTTAAACAATGATTTTACCCTTCAAGAAAATGGATTTCAAAACTTTTATTAGCTACCTAACTAAAAAAAAATTCATAGGATGCAAAACAAGCAGGAATATTGTTTGTAAAAAACAGGATAAACATTGCTAAGATTAAAGAAATGTTTAACCCTTTGAGGGTTTCGGACGTACTAGTACGGCTTACAACCCAGGGTTTTTGACGTACTAGTACGCCTAAATTCTAGCGCCCTCAAATCTAGTGGGAGAAAGCTGGTAGGCCTCCATATGAAAGAATGGGTCTATGTGGTCAGTGTGCACAGTATAAAAAGATCCTGCAGCACACAGTGCATAATGAGAAAAAAAAAAACTTTGACCGTTTTTTTGGAATAAAACAGCGATTTTGCACTGTATTTTTGTATGGTATTTATTGTTGTATTCTAGTTTTCTTGGTCTCATTTTATAGAATGGAAGGCATATCATAGAAATTGAGATGATTTTGATTGGTTTTACAATGAAAAGTACCTTGAAATTGAGCTCAAAGTAGCAGAAATGTTCGATTTTTACCAAAGTTCAAAAGTAAACAAATCATGCCAAGCATCCAATACACGTCAACTGGTGAGTCTAATATTCTTTTGCAAGTGCGCCAATATGATTCATACCATTTTTTACACTAATGCAGTAGTCTGCATAACAGTAAATCTTCTATTTTTTGTGAGAATAAAAATTCAAAGTGGAAAGCAAAAGAATGTAAGAGGGGCCTTGAGACGTGACTAATGAACAGAGGAAATGTTATTTTAGTGCCAGGAATGTATTTCTTGTTTGTTCTTGACCCTATTTGGAAATTGGCATCTTTTGAAATTTGTGTGAAATTGGCAAAATTGCTAAATTCTGACCACTGTACTGGATAGTTGAAATTGGTAAATGGGTGGTTTCTTGCACTCATTCAATAGAAAAAATGGAGTTCTAGCGAAATATTCATGTTTTTTGTCGACTAGTACAGTGGAACTGGCCGAAAATGGGGCTCAAAGTGGGCAAAATCGCCGATCCGTAAACATCGCCGAGACCACTAACTTCGCAAGAGCATAATTCCGTAAGTTTTCCATCAAATTTCATATTTTTGGTGTCATTATGATCGGGAAAAGATTCTCTATCTTTTCATAAGAAAAAATTATTATTATTTTTTTTAAATTTGGCCGACCCTGAGAACGAGTCTCGGAGAGGGCCTGTCGACCCTCAAAGGGTTAAGAATGACCAAGGGATAATTCTGTAAGCAGGCAGGCAGGTGAGCATGGTTGAGGAGGGGGTTCTTGAAATGATCTGGGCATGTACAACGGATGGAGAGGAACAAGATGAAGAGGGTGTATAAATCTGGGGTGGAATGTAGGAGAGGTAGCAGTCATCCCAGGAATAAGCGGAGGGAAGGAGTAAAGAAGGTTTCAAGTTTTAGGCGCACGAGATCCAGCAGGCTTGTGAACATGCTAGATAGGTGTGAATGAAGACGAAAGGTTTTTTATGAACATGCTTAAGTGTGAGCAAAGTAACATTTATGGAGGGATTCAAGAAAATCAGTTAGCTGGACTCGAGTAATGGAGGTGGGAAGGGCAGTGCCTGTGTTCTGAAGGAGGGGTGGAGATGTTGCAGTTGGAGGGTAATCTGAATTATGGTTAGTACACTTGTGGAAAGATGGCAGCTGAATGAATGGTGAATGATACCATGAAGAAGTACAACACTCACTGATATTTTCTTCTATCATAGCCAAACATTCTTCTGATTTCACTTGAGAAGTCTACTTCTTGATCTCCATCATCAATGAAATCATCCATTTCAGAATCATACTCTTCTGAATCACTCTCAATACGCATTTTGGGAGTAGGATTGTATGTAGGACGCTTAGGAGCACTTGGCGGTGGAACGTCTCTCACTTTGCTCTTTGGAGGAATCTTTTGTAATTTTGATGGCTTCATCTCTTTAGGAGGCACATCTCGAGATGGCAGGTCCCTAGGAGGCACAACTTTAGGCTTCAAGGGCTTTGTCTCTTTTGGAATAAAATCTTTATTATTAGAGGTTTGAATTTTAGGAGCCGGAGGCTTGAAATTCTGTGCAGGTTTGGTTTCTTTTATTTGAGGTATATCACGTGGCTTTTGAACTGGAACTGCAAAATACTTAGATCTGTCATTGACTTTGGGTTCAGGTTTGGGTTTTTCAAGAGCTTGTTGTAATTTACTGCTATTTTCTTGTTTTTTGTTGTTCTTTTCACCATTTTTTCTCATTTTTTGTAAATTTTCTGCATCACCTTTTTCTTCCTTCTCTTTTAGCTTCTCCATTTCTATTTTATCTTGAGGCAACTTTCCCAATCTTTTCAACTTTCGTCTCTTCTCATCCTCCAGTTCCTCCTTTTCTTTAGCTGTTAGAGGCCGACCTACATCTTTCGGCTTATCTTTATCTTTCTCCTTCTTTTCCTCCTTTACATCAGGAAGAGGCTCCGATTGTTTCTTTTGAGCAACTCTAAGAAGTTCCTCAAAACTCATGGGAGGTGGTACTGCTTTAGTCTTCTCTCTCTGTTTTTTGAGCTTCTTCTCATTATCTTCTCTAGATTTTTTCTTCTCCTTATCTCCATCATACTTGAAGTTATTATATTTGTCACTTTTGTAGTTAGTAAGATTAACATTAACAACCTTCTGACTGGAAGACATAGCCTTCCTTGGGGCATTGTCGTACTCGTCACCATCATTTATAAAATCGTCATCCTCTGCTCCCTGCAGCTTGCGTTTTCTTTTCCTAACCTCAAAGTCATTCTCCTCTTCCTTCTTTAGGGTATCGATGCCTTTACTCTGTAAATATGTGAATATCATTAGAAATGATATACTGTACATTAAAATGGTAATATGGAAGTTAACTAGCTATTGTATATAGCATAATTTTAATTAACAATGCAATCTTCAGTCTAGTTTACAGTAAAACAATGATACAATCCTTTGTACAGCACAATAATTGATCTAGTGTATAACAGCACTGCTGCACAGTGTACAAAAGTGATGCTGAGTAGTGTACAGTACAAGAACACTACCATCCAGTGTACAGTACAACAAAGCTGCTGATAAATGCACAATGCTGCTGCCGCCTAATAAATAATTTTTTTTTTTTTAAGAAGTCGACCATCTCCCACCGAGGCAGGGTGACCCAAAAAGGAAGAAAATCCCCAAAAAGAAAATACTTTCATCATCATTCAACTCTTTCACCTCACTCACACACAATCACTGTTTTTGCAGAGGTGCTCAGAACACAACAGTTTAGAAGCACATACGTATAAAGATACACAACACATCCCTCCAAACTGTCAATATCCCGAACCCCTCCTTTAGAGTACAGGCATTGTACTTCCCATTTCCACGACTCAAGTCTGGCTATATAAAAATAACCGGTTTCCCTGAATCCCTTCACTAAATATTACCCTGCTCACACTCCAACAGATCGTCAGGTCCCAAATACCATTCGTCTGCATTCACTCCTATCAAACACGCTCGCACACGCCTGCTGGAAGTCCAAGCCCCTCGCCCACAAAACCTTCCTTACCCCTTCCTTCCAACCTTTTCGAGGACGACCCCTACCCCGCCTTCCTTCCCCTACAGATTTAAATGCTCTCCATGTCATTCTACTTTGATCCATTTTCTCTAAATGACCAAACCACCTCAACAACCCCTCTTCAGCCCTCTAACTAATACAGTGGACCCCCGCATAACGATATTAATCCGTTCCTGAGAGCTCATTGTTATGCGAAATTATTGTTATGCGAATGAATTTTCCCCATAAGAAATAATGGAAATCAAATTAATCAGTGCAAGACACCCAAAAGTATGAAAAAAAAAAATTTTACCACATGAAATATACATTTTCCTACACACAAAGAGAAGGATACATGCACAATAGTAGAGTAGTACATGCACAATATATATTGTGCATGTACTACTCTACTAAATGAAGAATAAATGACACTTACCTTTGGTAAGTAAGACACATAGGCAACAGTTAGGCAACTTTATTCCGAAACGTTTCGCCTACACAGTAGGCTTCTTCAGTCAAATACAGAAAGTAGGCAGGAACAGTAGAGATGTGAAGACGATGTAATCAGTCCATCACCCTTGAAGTCGTAGAATTTGAGGTTGTCAGTCCCTCGGCCTGGAGAAGTTCAGTTCCATAGTCAGGAACTATCTGAAGATCAAGCGACAGTGCGGAGACTTAAATACTGTCGGAAGGAGAGGTGCAGAGTAGTAGTAGTAGTAGTGAGAATGTAGCCACTGAGAGGTCAGGTCCCTCTCAGATCCAACAGTTCTCACTTGGAAGGGTTGTCTAAGGCGTTTTCTGTACCAAGAGGCCATGTGTTGCAGTGTCTGTCAAGATGAACATCAAAATGGTATACAATACCGACAGGTTGGTAGGTAAGACACATAGGCAACAGTTAGGCAACTTTATTCCGAAACGTTTCGCCTACACAGTAGGCTTCTTCAGTTGAATACAGAAAGTAGGCAGGAACAGTAGGGTGATGGACTGATTACATCGTCTTCACATCTCTACTGTTCCTGCCTACTTTCTGTATTCGACTGAAGAAGCCTACTGTGTAGGCGAAACGTTTCGGAATAAAGTTGCCTAACTGCTGCCTATGTGTCTTACCTACCAACCTGTCGGTATTGTATACCATTTTGATGTTCATCTTGACAGACACTGCAACACATGGCCTCTTGGTACAGAAAACGCCTTAGACAACCCTTCCAAGTGAGAACTGTTGGATCTGAGAGGGACCTGACCTCTCAGTGGCTACATTCTCACTACTACTACTACTACTCTGCACCTCTCCTTCCGACAGTATTTAAGTCTCCGCACTGTCGCTTGATCTTCAGATAGTTCCTGACTATGGAACTGAACTTCTCCAGGCCGAGGGACTGACAACCTCAAATTCTACGACTACAAGGGTGATGGACTGATTACATCGTCTTCACATCTCTACTGTTCCTGCCTACTTTCTGTATTCGACTGAAGAAGCCTACTGTGTAGGCGAAACGTTTCAGAATAAAGTTGCCTAACTGTTGCCTATGTGTCTTACCTACCAACCTGTCGGTATTGTATACCATTTTGATGACACTTACCTTTATTGAAGATGCAGCAATGACTGATGAGACACTGTGTCCTGGGAGTGCCTTTTCCTCCTGAGTACTGTAGGTCCTGTTTGGCATTTTCTTCTAGAACAGGCCTTATCACACTGTGTATGCCACTACGATTCTTAAATCTCTCAAACCAACCTTTGCTGGCTTTAAATTCACCAATATGAGCATTAGTTCCAGGCATTTTTCCCTGTTCACCTGGGTGTTAGTCAACTGGTGTGGGTTGCATCCTGGGAGACAAGATTAAGGACCCCAATGGAAATAAGTTAGACAGTCTTCGATGACACTGACTTTTTTGGGTTATCCTGGGTGGCTAACCCTCTGGGGTTAATTGTTTCTTGGTATTCTCAATAAGCCACACCAACAATGGTGCTACAGCAGCAGCAGCAGCAGCAGCTGACAGTGCTACAGCAGCAGCAGACGATGCTACAGCAGCAGCAGACGATGCTACAGCAGCAGCAGACGATGCTACAGCAGCAGCAGACGGTACTACAGCAGCAGCAGCAGCTGACGGTGCTACAGCAGCAGCAGCAGCTGACGGTGCTACAGCAGCAGCAGCAGACAGTGCTACAGCAGCAGCAGCAGCTGACAGTGCAGCAGCAGCAGCAGCTGACAGTGCTACAGCAGCAGCTGACAGTGCTACAGCAGCAGCAGATGGTACTATAGCAGCAGCAGCAGCAGACAGTACTACAGCAGCAGCAGCAGCTGACGGTGGTACAGCAGCAGCAGCTGATGGTGCTACAGCAGCAGCAGCAGCTGACAGTGCTACAGCAGCAGCAGCAGCTGACAGTGCTACAGCAGCAGCAGCATCAGCAGTTGACCATGGTACCACAGTATTTCGATAATATTTCTCACCCTTTTTACCACAGGGTTGGCACTAGAAGCTTTCTTGGGGCCCATGGTCACTTATTTTGCAGATAAAAACACCAAAAACACTGTAATAATACGAAATGCTACGATTGTATGCTTGGATGTTACCGCGGAGGCTGGCTTGTAAACAATGCCACCGGCGGAACATGCGAGGCTGGCTCAGGCCGCACATTAGACGCGTCTTGGATGAATAGTGTTGAGCGGGTTTTTTAGCGGTATGCGAGGCAAAATCTTTGCGATAAAATGTATCGGTATGAGGATTTAACGTTATGTGATGCCAACGGTATGCGGGGATCCACTGTACTTTTATTGACTCCACACCTTCTCCTAATTTCCACACTCCAAATTTTCTGCATAATATTTGCACCACACATTGCCCTTAGACAGGACATCTCCACTGCCTCCAACCGCCTCCTCGCTGCTGCATTCACAACCCAAGCTTCACACCCATAAAAGTGTTGGAACTACTATACTGTATCTATATCTGTGAATTCCAGATTTAGCAGGTAAGTGAACGCTCAGATCCACGAGATATGTTTTGTCTCGTTATTTGTTACCCACAAGCTAGGTTTGTGGATCTGTTAAACCCAAGTGAGTTATTCAACCATAAGGCATGGAGGCTTGATCCTCCATATACAAATCGTAAGTCATACACTAATTAATTAATCTCCACAAAATGTGTGCAAAAGGAATACAATTGGAGGTGGACAAGTGTATTTTTAACTTTGTAAAAATCAAACTCAAAGACTCATACTGTAGTCAACAGAATAAAATCAGAAGCTGCCACAGTGAAAAGTTATGATTCTCAAGGCACCATTTTGCCCCTTTCTCTTCCTCCATCCTGTGTCTGATAGAAACAAATATTACTGTCATCCCATGCAAACAATACTAAATTTTGTATCAGCATCATCCATTAAGGACACAGCAAATCTCCAAGTTGATAGAAGCCAGGTCTTCCATTGGGCCATAGTAAACAATATGATAGTCAATGAGGACAAATTTCAGTTACTTTTCTAAGGAGAAGTTGAAGAATTAAGCCACTCAATAGAAAATCATTATCACAACCATAAGAAAAATACTGTGGTACACTACGTAACTAGAACCTTCAAAACAAAGATCCCAAATCCACGATGATGCTCTACTCAGCCACTTTTAGGGCAGGCAAAATCAAAGACCTGGAGAAATAAATGTACAGATAATTTTTTACTGTTCATAAATTCAGAAATCCTAGGTAGTAGGATGGTAGACAGCAAGAGCCCAGGGAGGTACTACTGTCCTGCCAAGTGAGTGTGAAACGGAAGCCTGTAATTGTTTTACATAATGGTAGGATTGCTGGTGTCTTTTTTTCGGTCTCAAACATGCAAGATTTCAGGCACAGTGGACCCTCAGTTATCAGCCGTTCCGCTTACTGGCCGGGTATTCGGCTCCAGGTTTTTTTTTTTTTTTTCAACAAGTCAGCCGTCTCCCACCGAGGCAGGGTGACTCAAAAAGAAAGAAAATCCCCAAAAAGAAAATACTTTCATAATCATTCAACTCTTTCACCTCACTAACACATAATCACTGTTTTTGCAGAGGTGCTCAGAACACAACAGCTTAGAAGCACATACGTATAAAGATACACAACATATCCCTCCAAACTGCCAATATCCTGAACCCCTCCTTTAGAGTGCAGGCATTGTACTTCCCATTTCCACGACTCAAGTCCGGCTATATAAAAATAACCGGTTTCCCGGAATCCCTTCACTAAATATTACCCTGCTCACACTCCAACAGATCGTCAGATCCCAAATACCATTCGTCTCCAT